ATATAACGAGGCGAATAGGGGTTAAGGGAGGAGGAGGGGGAGGGAGAGAGTTGTTTCTTAGAGTAAAGAAACCACACACCGCTGATTCGGCCAAAGCTGGCTGAAGGCTCACCTGCGAGTAAATAAACAGACCCCGGATAAGCCGACGCACGCAAAGGACTTGCCCAAGATGCTGAATGCTTTAAATGAGAGTGACAAAGTGCCCAGCAAGCACCAGGCTCTCTCTGTGCCTTGGCAAAACCGCCCACCTCATCAGATCGAGGTATTTGGCTAAATATTTATTTCTTGCGGTCTTGCTCAACATCCTTTAGGGAGGAATTTTACTTCTTATTATGTAAATTCTTTATAATGTTTTTGCGTTTTTTCCTCCATGCTCCGTGTGGGCGCCAACTACCCCGAGAGCGGTGCCAGATAACGGCTGATAACACCAGCCGTGCTATAAGAGGAAGCCCCACCACAATTAGCTCCCCGCCCCCCTCCCCCCTTCCCGGCCCCGCAACAAAGCCGAGTACCTTCCCCGGTCTTGTTGGTCGGTGGTGCATTAACGGGAACGAGAGCCGCCGCCGCCGCCGCTGCCGCCACGCACCGCATCCAGCGCGGCAAGCTCTCCACTCTCCCCACCCTTCCCCCCTGCCCTCCCCCCCCCCCCGCACGCATCCTCGACTGATCCACACGCGCCGCTTCCGCCTGATGCCACCGGCGATCCAGGGCCTGGTGTTGGCGCCGGACTTTTAAAAGCACCGGGATATTCCAAAGCGCTGACGCAGCCGGTACGCGAGATGCCACGGATTCCCCGACTGGACTAGACCACACGCTGAGATCATTTTGCAGGCGAAACTAAGAAGATTCCGCGAATTTACGAGGATGCTGTTAGACCATAGCCTTAAGAACGATCCATGAGAAGCGAAACTAAGTAGATTTCGCCTTAAGAACAATCCATGAGTTTATAGCAAAGAACTGACGACAGATGAGGCAGAAACATAGACTTCAGAAGGACCTCATTCTCTTAAAAGGGGATTTTCTCCATAATCACTACAATTAAAAATAGTCATAATGGTATCTACATTCCCAAGAAATAAAAAAGAGATACTTGCATTGTATTCCTTCGACGTAAGAACCCCCCCCCCCTCCACTACAATGGCAAATGGAAACCTGGGCTGGTTGAAGGTTTGAATATCGATATTCGAAATCAATAAATATAGTTCCCCTAAAATCAATTTCTACCCGTCAGCCCTCGCCCCCCCCTTCCTGCCCACCTTAACCATATGATGGGGGTTATGAATAGAACGGTCTGGGCATAGAACATTTAGTGTACACGCATATCATATGTATGTATGTGTGTGTGTGTGTGTGTGTGTGTGTGTGTGTGTGTGTGTGTGTGTGTGTGTGTGTGTGTGTGGTGTGTGTGTGTGTGTGTGTGTGTGTGTGTGTGTGTGTGTGTGTGTGTGTGTTGGCGTGTGCGTGTGCGGCGTGTGCGTGTGCGTGTGCGTGTGCTGTGCGTGTGCGTGTGCAACGTGTGTGTGTGTACATATCTATGTGATATATATATATATATATATATATATATATATATATATATATTATTATATACATATATGTATTATTCACCGGAGGACAGCGAAACCCGAACACCCAATCCACTTACCCTTCCCAACCCCCTCGCGAGTCGCATCTGTCCCCGACGCGAACCGCCCCGTCCCCTTGAAACAAAAACGTCCCCCCCCTCTAATCCCAACCCCCCCTTTCCTAACCCCCCATTTTCTCTCACCCTTCCTAGAAAGACGCCGCCCACCCTTCCCGCCGCCACGACGCCCACGACCCGCAAAACACCAAAACCTAGGCCTCTCTCCCCTCCCGCCTCTCGCGTCATGGCAGTTGTCCGGGGGTGAACACGTGCCGCCGTCTCTCTCACACCTGTGCCCGGCAGGTGTGCGAGTCGAGGGCCGGCGGGCGCTGCATAATGCCCTAGCGATGCGGGCGGCGGGCGGTGCCAATGCTCGCGCGAGGGCGTGTGGGCGCCGCCGAACCCTGTCCCTTGTCACGACTTGGCATGGGCGTGTGCTTGATGTCAGACACAATAATGATGATGACAAATGGAAACACATCATCATCATCATCTGCTGGTGAGGATGATGATGATAATGATGGTGATGATAATACTATGATAATAATAAAATAGCAATAACACCAATAATAATCATATCAATAACAATGATAATATAATCATTTCATAATTATCATCAGCATTGTCATTATTGTTTTCACTATCACTATTGTTTTTATCAGTATTATTATTATTATCATCATATTATCATTATCATTATACCAATCATCATTATTATCTATATTATTATAGTCATCACCATTATTTTTTTTACATCCACATAACAATCGTTTCCTTATCTATAATGCCCATCATCATCACTAGTTTTATCATTTTTTCGTTTTAACATCATTATCATCATATCATTATCATTTTCATTGTCATTATCATCATAAT